CAGTGAACAGGCAAAAAGTAGTTTAGTCGCTAAATAGTTTAGCCAGGCGTTCGTTCACAACACACAGGCAGGGAGGCAACCAGGCAGGCGAGATGAGTGTGTTGCCGGCTTATGGCTAAATATAGTTAGCCAGGCTCATACTACAGATACAGATAGAGATACAACTACAACTGCTGTATATATACTGACAACAAATGGGCCCCGTTTTTGCCAGCTAAGCTCCGTCGCTCGCTCGCTTAAATGCCTGCAAAATTGCACCGTCAAGAGCTGAGGTCCTGGTCCTGCGGTGGGTGTTTTCACCATGGGGTCCTAATTCAATTGTTTGTAATGTTGCCGGACATTTAGAGTTAAATGCTTGCTTACACATAATGCCCATTAAAGGTGATGTATGTGCGGCCCATTTGGGGAATGCTAAGCCCCGCGTTTTGCCATTTCCTCGCTGGAGGTGGAGGTCCTGTCCTGATGCCTGCCACGGTTGGCTGGCTATGCGAAACTTGCCAGATTGTGTGGTCCGCTTCCCTGCGGCTGGTTGTAATTTCTATGGGGATTCCTGAAACCCCCCACACACATACACAGCGGAGTGTGTGCCTAAATAAGGATATATAATAGTGGCCCCCGAAATTACAAACAGTTTTAAGACCTAACACTACAAATTAGCTTCAAACTTGTACAACTTGTACTTGAATATTAACCTTATTAATATTTATACAATTTGTTGAAAAAGTTCTTTGTAAACTCTTCTTTTTTTAATTACTTTGACTGGTTATACCTTTCCTGCTTGTTTAGAATGCTGTTTCATTTGCTCTTTAATCAAATGAACAACGCAAACAAAAGCCGTCTCAATCCGATTGAACAATCGTCTAAGAGAGAGAGTGATGGAAGCCGCCCACTGTGCGGCACAGTGGTTGCCATAGAGCAGTGGTAATTACACTGCATTACCTGACATTCAGTGCGTATCAGCTTATCCATAATGGGGACTTGTCTCTCTGTGTCTCAGTCGCTCAGTCTCTATTTCCCTGAACCCCTGTCCTCCTGTCCCCTGCCTCTTTTGGCCCCGTGAAACAGAAGCCTCTGGGTAGGTCAGCCATTGTCAAAGCGGACTTTAAACACACATGTGGACACGCACACCCCTATACCATACTATATACTGTACTTTAGAGACCCAGCGCACTCGGATGGCACCTTGAATTGTGTTTGCTTTCTGGCCATTTCACTGAAAAGGACTCGGCGACAAAACAAAGCAAAACAAAGCCAACCGAATGATGGAACAAAACGGTAAAGCCGCAGGACCAGTCGCAGGACCCTTTTGGCCTTAGTGTTTGTGTTTGTGTTTGTGTTGCTTTTTCTGTTCTTTTTTTTTCAGCTTTTCTTTTCTTTTTCAGTTACCGAGTTTTGAGGCGTATGGGAAATTATTTTTACAATTTCAATGTCAACATTTTCCCCACCAAAGCACGCGCCAAGGACGATGAGAGAGAGAGAGCGAGTGAATGGTGAAAGGGGTTGTTGTGTTGTTGAAGTTAACTAAAAATACGTATGCGCAGCTAACGACAGCATATTACGTATACGCAGAGCTTGAATTTAACTAAAAAGAAACACACACAAGAAAAAATAACGTATACGCCGCGTGACCAGGTTCGAAAGTTACGTATACGCCACCGAAACAGAGTGAAATTGAAATGCCACTGGGAACGGAAACTGACTGAGGCGTGGCCTCAATGCCAGAAAACTTAAATTAAAACACAGGCGAAGGCAAACAAATGCCAGAGGAAAGGGGACAAAAAAAAATTCAAATAGAAAGTTGCCACAAAATGATTTGCCGCGGCACGCAGCAAGAGGATAAAAAAAAAGAAGAGAGGAGGCTGTTGCCCAGGGGAGACAGGGAGACAGGGAGACGACCATGTCAGTGGCGCATTAAAAAATCATTTTCAATAACGCGCTCCACTGCCACTCCTGGTGGCACGCTGCCATCCTGCCATCCTGCCATCCTGTTGCCATCCTGCCACCATGGTGCCTCGTCTCACAACTCAATTGTTTGCATTTTGCATGCATTGACAGACAGAGCACACACGGGACACAAGCCTCGTCTCCAGGAGCTCCGTATCCTTCCGGCTACAGATGTTATGCGGATGTTAGGCAACTCACTCACTTGCCACTTGCCACGCCTTTCACCTTGATCACTTTCCCAGGATCAGGCATATATAGCTAGCAAATTGGATTTTACTAATAAATAAACCAAAAGCCTGATAAATACAGCAATATATATATATATGTCTAGCAAATGGGATACAATAACTAACAATTTCATCAGTTTAAAATGTAAAACTTTTTCTCACAGCCTATTAGGAAACAATTTGTACAACAAGCCAAGGCAATTACAAGGATATAAATGCCATATATATATATATATATATATATATATATATATATACAAGGACATATACTAGTTGTTGAAACAGTTTAATTGTATTTTGGTTTCAACTTTCAACAAAACGCTATAAATCCCACATGGGCCCCGAGGTAGGCAATAATTTGTGAGCAGGCATTTAGCCAAGCGGAATGAATCCGAAAGGATAATGCTAACGATAACGATGGGCGATAACGATAACAATAAGCAAAAGGAAGAGCAGAGAAAAAAGGCAAAATGGAAAAATACATATAAGCGAGGACAAATGACATTCTGCCATTAATGTTCGCGTATTGAGAGCCATCTAATTGCATTTGCTCAAGGATACTCGTGAAGCGTGTGGACACCAACAATGGAAGCGTGTCCTGAAAATGCGTGTGTATGTGTACGAACAATGGCAAAATGTCAAGTTTAATTGTTTGTCTGTCATTAGAGCACACACACATACAGAAAGAGAGAGAGCGCGCAGTGCAACGATGCATGTGATTCTTTCTCTGTTTTCCCTGTTTTCCTCTGCGTTTTTCCTCTGCATATTTTTTTTTCGCTGCTAATTTCATACAATTAAATTTGTTGCTCCATGAACGTAACAAAAGGAATCAAATGCTATGTTACAATAAGTTGGGCCCCAGGCCCCAGGGCCGCGTCGCGCATATTTGCGGCAAACTCTCTCAAGCGAGCCACTTAAACAGCCTCACGCTCGGTTGAATATGTTTTGATTAAGCCAAGTATAACGAACACATTTTAGCCCAGGATCCAAGCCCAGTGCCGCTGCTGGGTGAGTCTCACTTTCCCGAGTGCCAAGTGGAAAGTGGCAAGTGGCAAGTGGCAAGTGGCATACATATATATCCTTCCCTTCCACCTTCCGTAGGCTGCGTTTATATACTCCAACGGACTCTGGTCAGGCACTGGGCCGTGTGAATGACATGACGTCCTCGCGTCCAGAGTTTTGCTTTATTTTTAAAGCCATGTTATGTGGGCGGGCCATTCATGTATACTATATAGCATATATATATATTTATATACTAGAATGTTTGTGCTGAGCTGTTATCCTGCGGAGGTGCCGCACGCACGCAAAAACTCCCACGAAAAGGACGAAATGAAAACATAACCCCGTAGGATCAAGCAGGTCCTCTTGCTATGAAAAAAAAAGGATTTTTCTGTCTCTCTGTTTGGTACCAAAAAGATCATTGATTTCGAAATGAAAAACTAAAGCTAAAGACTTGCAGACCCTAGATTTTGGTCCTTAATTGTTTCCTAGTATTACATTTTACTTTTCACCCCGAAAAGGACTCGAGTCCTGCTTACTTACTCCCATTGTCCTGTCAATAAAGCAGTCTTCTACACAAGGCAGCATATGAAATGACCACAGCAGCATTGGTCCTGCATCTCAGTTTGGTCTCGGGTCCTGGCGGTATCCTTTGGGGGGGTTTTCGGTTTTCAGTTTGACTTGACATGCATCAGCATCATTATTTTGTGCTTTTAATGTTTTATTTAGCCCGGTTTTGCCGACAGCAATACGCAAACGGGGTGTGCTTGTCTGACCGCCTACGTGCCTACGGTTTTGCGCTCATTTTCTGAGCCAGAGTTTGCTCCCTCCACGACGCTTTTCCCCCTGATCCTTTCAACCAATGTGTGTGCATGTGTGCCATGAGAGTGTTCGCCATTTGCAACGAAGCACTCAAACAACATTTAAAAAGGCCTCATTTTCATGAGCCTCGCAGTGTGTGTGTGTGTGCCAGGATGGAGGAGGAGAAGCAGGACCCCCGGAGGAGTATCCTTGTGTGTGTGGATGCCACTCGGCACATAATTGTTTGAAACAAATGTAGTGCACACACACACTCTCTGCACTCTCTACACTCCACACACACAGACATGGGGTATATTTTATTAGGCCATTCAGTTAGTCAGTCATTTAGTCAGTCAATCAAACTGGGCAGGCAATTAAAGTTTCACTGCCCCATCAGGAGCAGCAAGGAGCAGCCAGGAGCAACAACAAGAACAAGCACAACATTGGTAACAAACAATGAGAGCAACTGGCTAAAAAGAGGCAAATAAACACATCAAATGGCCTGGCAAACAAGCAAACCAGCAAAGGGTTACAACAGGATATATACCACAGGATATATATATATATATAGAGGGTTAGTGAATCCTTTCAGATAAATGAAATTTCAACAGAAATGAGTAAATGAGAGAAAAGCGAATCGTAACTTGATTAATAATGAATTTGAACGGCACAAAATGGGAATTTCAAATTGTTTCCATGTAATAAATATATACGAAAAGAGAGAGTCCTAGTTTTAAAAGTCGGTTTTAGTGGTTAAGTAAATGAATATTTAACTAGTTAAACCCTAAAGTTATTAGTGAAAGTAAAGGGGTTATAATATGTTCCATGAATTGATGGAAAGTTTTTAAATGGTCAAGTTAAAGTAAAGAATTAGAAACAAGTTTTGAGACAGACTTGCAGAGATTGAATAGATACATCATAATACTTGAATCTTTATTCCATATCTTTTGATATCCCAAATATCTATCCCAAATATTCTTTTTAACTTTAAAATTACTCTATATTCCACTCTCCTTAACTTATTTCCAGGCCTATCCCAGTCGAGATATAACCAATATTGTGGAATCATCGCACTATCAGAAGATTGGCGGCTGGTGTCGTCAGGGTGCCTTGAATGCGGCCAAATGCAAGGGTTCCCATCGCTGGATCAAGCCATTCCGCTGTCTGGGTGAGTACCAGTACTTGGTCATACCCATTGCCATAATATCCAACTAATCACTGATCCAATCTCTCCTTTTCTACATCCCTCCGATATGATTATTATCCCTCCGAACTGACGTTTGGCTTCAGAAGGACCATTCCAATCGGATGCCCTGCTGGTGCCGGAGGGCTGTCTCTTCGATCACATTCATAATGCCTCCCGATGCTGGCCATTTGTGAGATGGAATCAAACCGGAGCAGCCGCCTGCCAGGAGCGTGGCATGCAAATGCGTAGCTTTGCCATGCTCCTGCCCTGCGGCATCTCTGTTTTCTCTGGCGTTGAATTTGTCTGCTGTCCCAAACACTTCAAGAGTGAGTGTAGTTTTCTTACCAAAAAAACTAGCTTTAAATTACGGTTTTTATATCAATTGTTCTTGTTCTCATTTTCCTTGTAAATGACAGAAATATTTGCAATACAAATCATATTTTGTTGCCCTGTTGAGTTTGCAAAAAATAGAAACAATGGTTATTGTGCCACAAAAATATGTTGTTCTATGGAAAAAAAAAAGCACACATTTGCAATTTCCTTTTTTCCCTGTTTTTTTCCTCATCCTGGCATGTACACACATTTTTTTGTCCACCTAGTTTTATATATTTGCATTGTATTTTAGTAGGAGTTGGCCATTAGTTGCTTTGGCGTTCAATCTGTGGTTATAGAATTAATTATTTAAACCGAAAATCGAATGTGCAGCGCTAACAAATGTGCCATTACTCACCCCAATGCGATTATTATTTGTGCATTATTTAATCGGTTTAAGATTTATTTATGCAAAAACTCTAACAATTGAAGGCTTAAAGTTTTCGTCTTAGTAAGGAAATTGAAACCTTAATTGATTCCCCCTGCCTCCCCTCTCTTGTAGCCGATGAAATCCATGTGAAAAAGACCGATTTGCCAGTGATGCCACCGGCACAGATAAGCAGTGCCAATGACGAACTGGTGGCCAATGATGAGGACGATAGCAATGATTCCAATTACTCGAAAGATGCCAACGATGAGGAACTGGACGATGAGGATGATCTAATGGGCGACGATGAGGAGGACGAAATGGTGGCCGACGAGGCAGCTGCGGCTGGTGGTAGTCCCAGTGCCGGATCTGGATCTTCGGCAGATGCCAACAGTGGCTCCTTGGATGACATTAATACGGAATACGATAGCGGCGAGGAGGGTGACAATTACGAGGAGGATGGCGGTGCCGGTTCTGAGGCCGAAACCGAGGGCGATTCATGGGATCAGAGTGGAGCCAAGCCACAGAAGAATGGTGCCTTGACCTCATCCTCATCCTCGTCATCTTCATCCTCATCGTCATCCTCGTCCTCATCATCTCCGTCTTCGGTATCTGATAAGACACCCCAGAAGTCCGACCTGGTGACCAGCACTCCACAGCTCTCGGTGGCCGCTGCTGCAGCTGCCAATGCCGGTTTGGGATCAGGATCGGGATCGGGATCGGGAGCACCGCCACCATCGACGGCACAACCCACATCGGATCCATATTTCACCCACTTTGATCCACACTATGAGCACCAGAGCTACAAAGTAAGTCAGAAAGTAAGTGTTTACATTGAGGGCGCAGGTTTATTTATCGATGCAACACAAAACGTATTCTAAACAAAGGAAGCCCAACAGCGCCTTGAGGAATCGCATCGCGAGAAGGTCACGCGCGTGATGAAGGACTGGTCGGATCTGGAGGAGAAGTATCAGGATATGCGGCTGGCCGATCCCAAGGCAGCACAATCGTTCAAGCAGCGGATGACGGCTCGCTTCCAGGTCAGTCATCCATGTGACGCACTCATTCCCTTTTCACCATTACCCTTCACTGTCACTGTCACTGTCAATGTCTCTCTACCTGTACTCTGTCTCTATCTACTCTCATCACATCTCTCTCTCTATCTATCTCTCTGTCTGTCTCTTTCACTCGCACTAAACTCCACTTCGACTGCCTGAAAGCACCACCACCACCATACCCCTACCCCAAACCAAACCCTATCCACCTTTATCTACCTGTACCTATCAGCTCTATGACTATGTAAACGCTATGTCTCTCTGCATCTGAATGTGTGTGTATGTCTGCGTCTGTATTTGGGAGTTTCACTTGGCAAAGAATAGATCAATCGATCAATGATCAATCAATATAAAAATACAGAGATATCCTTTAAGTATTTATTGAAGAAATCTTAAAGCTAACATATAACTTCTTCATCCCACTGATCACTAAAAACTTAATTGTAAAGCATTGATGAAATATCGGAATATCAAAACCTATCGATATCTTTGCCAATTGAAACTACCTTTAAAATAGGCCTCACAACCAGTACTCAAGACATCTGTAGTCTATACAAAACATATCATAATCGTTTATCATTTCCCTCTGTTGATTTAGTTACCATTTTAATACCATTATCATGCACCCAGTATCGTAATCGTAATCGTAATCGTAATCGTACTCGTTATCGTAATCGTAATCGTTTCCTACTCTTACCGTAAGCGTAGCTCATTGAGTCGTCTTTTTTCCAAACATTAAGTTTGTGCTCATTGTATCGCCTGCTTTTCGTTTGCTGCCCCACGAAGTCCGGAAAAGCTGAGTTACTCAGTGACTCTGGTCATCGCTGGGCCGACTTTTGTTTTATTATTTTATTTTTGTGTATCCATATGTATGGCAAATGGGAGCGAAAGAGGCATCAGATTGTAATCATAACAGCAAATAACAGTAACAATAACAATAACAATAACAATAACAATACCAGTTACCGTAACAATAAGAGCAACAATAAGAGCTACTCGTAATCTAACCAGTTAACGAAGAACAACCACAGCAAGAACAATAGATCAAATCTACTATACATATTACTAACTAACATCCAAAGTGCTTTGTAGTTGAACTGATTGGCATATAAACTAACTATAATCAATACCTATATACCCCGTATACCTCTATATCCCTTACACACCACAACCTATGCCTATCCTTAGTTATCTCTTCATTTCGATTCCCGTAACCCAAAACCCAAAAGGATATCCCAGCCCCCCGATTTGGATAATGTGTGTTTGCTCGCATTATAGTCCTGTAAATGCTGCTTTCGTGTAAACGCTGAGCTTTTGCAAGCATCGCTGCCACAATGCCGTGAATGAACTGCATCCATGTATATAACCCATCCCATTCAGATTCAGATCGAAGTTCCGAAATCCCGTGACCCCGAGACCCCGAGACCCCGTGACCCTTACAGGATCATTATAAATCCAACAAATCTATTGCACAGCATCAGTGGCTCGCACTCTGTCTCTCTCTCTTTGACGCTCTGTTTCTGTCTCGCTCAATCTAGCTCATGGTAGCACCATCTCTGTAGCGGCACCAAATACCCCTTATCCCCATTCCCATTCCAAATCATATAGAGATCCCAGCGAGAACGGACAAACCACTACCCATGACCCACCACCCACTCTTTCCCCAAACATTTCAACCACAAACATTTTTCACGAGATATATATACGTACGAATCAAAGTTAATTTTTTCGAAAAAATTTAACAAACAACGAACAAAACAAACAAAAATTACCGATAGACCACCGATCGACAGTTGCATATTGTTATCGATCGACGCAAATTCCCCATGCTGATAATCTTTCTCTCTTGGTGTGCAATACGTCTTTATATGGGAATGTAATTTTAGACTTCTGTTCAGGCACTCGAGGAAGAAGGCAACGCCGAGAAGCACCAGCTGGCCGCCATGCATCAGCAGCGTGTCCTTGCCCACATCAACCAGAGGAAGCGGGAGGCCATGACATGCTATACCCAGGCCCTAACCGAGCAGCCACCGAACGTGAGTAGAGTCCCCCAGAGTATCGAAGGGAGAGATCCTTAAACTCAGAGGACTTTCAGTCCACCCACGGGCGCCAAGAACTCTTAACTTAACTCATAACTGATTAAGTTTTACAGTTTTCTGGTGTCTTTCTACTAAATTTTCTTCCTTAATCCTTCCGATTTAATCACATTTATTAATACCTTTGATACCCCGCAGGCTCATCATGTGGAAAAGTGCTTGCAAAAGTTACTGCGCGCCTTGCATAAGGATCGTGCCCATGCCTTGGCCCATTATCGCCATCTCTTGAACTCTGGTGGTCCTGGTGGCTTGGAGGCAGCTGCCTCGGAACGACCACGTACCCTGGAGCGTCTGATTGACATCGATCGTGCTGTTAACCAATCAATGACCATGCTTAAGCGTTACCCCGAACTTTCGGCCAAGATTGCTCAACTGATGAATGATTATATTTTGGCATTGCGCAGCAAGGACGATATTCCCGGATCATCGTTGGGCATGAGCGAGGAGGCAGAGGCTGGCATTTTGGACAAATATCGCATCGAAATCGAACGCAAGGTGGCCGAAAAGGAACGCCTCCGTCTGGCCGAGAAGCAACGCAAGGAGCAACGGGCCGCGGAGCGAGAGAAACTGCGCGAGGAGAAGCTGCGCCTGGAGGCCAAGAAAGTGGACGATATGCTCAAGTCGCAGGCGGCCGAGCAGCAATCGCAATCGCAGTCCCAGTCCCAGTCCCAGCCATCGTCCACTCAATCCCAAGCGCAGCAGCAGCAGCAGGAGAAGAGCCTGAGCAGCAAGGAGCAGCTGGGAATGGGCTCTGACGGTGGCCTGGTGACCGCGGCCAATCTCAACTTGGACACCACCAAGAGCGAGAAGGAGCTCTCGGACACTGAGTATGCCGAGGCCACAGTGAGGTGGGTTCTATACCATATAGAGAGTCACTGGATTTAGATCTTCTTACTAACTAATCGAGGTCTTTGTTCTACAGCAGCACCAAGGTGCAGACCGTGCTGCCCACGGTCGACGATGATGCTGTCCAGCGGGCGGTAGAGGATGTGGCCGCCGCCGTTGCCCACCAGGAGGCCGAGCCGCAGGTGCAGCACTTCATGACCCACGATCTGGGCCACCGCGAATCGGTATTTAAATATTTTCGACATTTCTCAATTTTAATATAGAGAATATTTCAGAAATATATTTGTAATCCTTTCTCTCTGTGTATCCTTGTAGAGCTTCTCGCTGCGCCGTGAATTCGCGCAGCATGCGCACGCGGCCAAGGAAGGTCGCAATGTCTACTTCACGCTCTCCTTTGCCGGCATCGCCCTCATGGCGGCCGTCTTTGTGGGCGTGGCCGTGGCCAAGTGGCGGACATCACGCTCGCCGCATGCCCAGGGCTTCATTGAGGTCGATCAGGTGAGGATTCGGTGACAAAGAGTCAGTACAGCAAAGGAAATCGATCACATATCAAACTTTATAGAGAAACCCCCTAATTAAGAGATTTTAAGTTTATAATTCCAAACTTGTTCTGGTCTGTAAAGGTTGCTAAGCACTTTATAAGCAAGGAAAGATCAGCTATGGCTACTAATTCTGAAATTATTCCAGTAGATTTACTTGAATTAAAATCAAACGATAAAGGGAATCAAAGTTTGAATACCTTTGCAGTTTCGGTTGATCATAACTAAGCCAAAAATGCATCAATTTCAATTTTGTAAGCTGTTCTGTGCTAGTTTTAAAAGGGTTAACAAATCTGCAATTTGAGTTTTAAAATTCAAGAAAGTTTAAAATTTGTCAAATTTTGACAACTCAATAATATAAAATTTAGTCATAAAATTTCGAATAGAAATTCGAAATTTTTTGTTTCTCCAAAACATAGCTATATCGATTTGGCTGCTCATTCTGACCAAGAATATATATGATTTGTAGGGTCGGAAATGGCTGCTTCATGAATTACAAGCTTCTGACTGAAATTATATTACCATTTTTTGTATCGATATTTATTGATATTTTTACATGCAATTTGTTCGATAAATCAAAACTTAAAATATTCATAACTTAGCCAAAAATGCATCAATTTCAATTTTGTAAGCTGTTCTGTGCTAGTTTTTGAAGGGCTAACAAATCTGCATATTAAGTTTTGAAATTCAAGAAAGTTCAAAATTTGTCAAATTTTGGCAACTCACTAATATAAAATTTAGTCATAAAATATCGAAAATAAATTCGAAATTTTTTGTTTCCCCAAAACATAGCTAGATCGATTCGGCTGTTCATTCTGATCAAGAATATATATGATTTGTATGGTCGGAAATGGCTGCTTCATGAGTTACAAGCTTCTGACTGAAATTATATTACCATTTTTTGTATCGATATTTATTGATATTTTTACATGCAATTTGTTCGAGAAATCAAAGTTTAAAAAATTCATAACTTAGCCAAAAATGTATCAATTTCAATTTGGTAAGCTGTTCTGTGCTAGTTTTTGAAGGGCTAACAAATCTGCATATTAAGTTTTGAAATTCAAGAAAGTTCAAAATTTGTCAAATTTTGGCAACTCACTAATATAAAATTTAGTCATAAAATATCGAAAATAAATTCGAAATTTTTTGTTTCCCCAAAACATAGCTAGATCGATTCGGCTGTTCATTCTGATCAAGAATATATATGATTTGTATGGTCGGAAATGGCTGCTTCATGAGTTACAAGCTTCTGACTGAAATTATATTACCATTTTTTGTATCGATATTTATTGATATTTTTACATGCAATTTGTTCGATAAATCAAAGCTTAAAATATTCATAACTTAGCCAAAAATGCATCAATTTCAATTTGGTAAGCTGTTCTGTGCTAGTTTTCAAAGGGTTAACAAATCTGCATATAAAATTATTAAATGTAAGAAAGTTAAAAATTTGTCAAATTTTGACAACTCAATAATATAAAATTTAGTCATAAAATTTCGAAAAGAAATTCGAAACTTTTTGTTTCTCCCAAACCTAGATAAATCGATTCGGCTGTTCATTCTGATCAAGAATATATATGATTTATAGGGTCGGAAATGACTCCTTCATGAGTTACAAGCTTCTAAAAGTTATAATACCCTGCTTTTTTTAACTTCTCCATGATCTATTCCCTACATATCTATCTCTTTTTTTGTATTTAATATATTGTACTAATTTTCTGTATTTTAACTATCCAGAACGTGACCACACACCATCCCATCGTGCAGGAGGAGAAGATCGTGCCCAATATGCAGATCAATGGGTACGAGAATCCAACCTACAAATATTTCGAGGTGAAAGAGTAAGCGGGACGGCTGCAATGGAGGCGCGGCTGTGCGAGCGAGAGGCACACACATCAGAGGAAGCAGCGGCGCAAACCCGAAAAAAAATAAAACCAAAAACCAAAACAACAATTTCAAAATGGAATCTTAAGCGTAATATTAAAAAAGAAAACAAAAAACAAATAAGCAGCGGAAAGCGGAAGCGGAAGCAGAAGAGAAATGATTTTTTTTTCGTCAGTAAAACAAACAAAAACAAAAGGAGCGCAGTTCCAATAAGAGAGAATAAAGAGAAAGAAAGAGAAGAAGAAGCACGGAGAAAGGAAAGAGGAGAATCCGAGAAGGGGGTAGAAGAAGGCAGATAAATTCAATGAATGGTAATATATCTATATATTAAATTAAAGCAAGCAAGCAGAAAGGCAAAGAATATAAAGCAAGCAATTAAATTTAAGTATTTGAATGTTTAACAAAAAATGCAGTAAAAACATCCTCTCTAGCTCTCACTTTCTCTCTCTTACTCTCACTCTCTCGCTCTCACTCTCACTCTCGCTCTGTCTCACTTAGCCAGTCTGTCCCTTTCTTATACACCCACACACACACACACACACTTGGCACTTTGTTGTTCTTGTTGGAAACGAAGAAGCAAATGAGAAAAGCTAAGAAAACACACGGACGCACACACTCATGCGAATAAGAAAGAAGTAGCAGAAGGAGGAGAAGGAGAAAGAGGAGGAGAAGAGGGAGAAGGCGGAGAAGAAAAGGGAGAGCAGATGCAGAAGCAAAACGCAAAACAAAAGATATTCCTAGTAAATAAATTTGTCAACACACACTCACACACGTACACATGCATAACTCATGACTCACACATGACTCACTCTCATGACTAACATATGACTCACCCGTGACTCGCACATGACTTGACCCAGGACACCACATGCAGCTTCGTAGCATACTTTTGAGCGTTGCTTGCAAGCCGATCGCAATAAAATTAGAGCCGCGCTAAGAAAGCTGAAAGCAAGAAACAACACACACACATACTCACACTCATAAACACTCATACACACACAAGTGAACCTAAGAGCTACCTACGCGTACTAATCTCTATATATGAACATGCATATATGCATATATGTATATGTATAACTCTTTCTAAACATTAAACACAACATACACGCCATACGCCATACCACACATACCCATAAAAGCAAAAGCAAAAGCAAAAGCGAAACCACAAGCCCAACAAATTATATATACACAATATATATACATATATATATATATATATACACAATATATATTTAAAGCAAAGCAAGAAGAAATGTCCATAAATGTATTTATGTATCTATACACGAGCAAAAACACAACCCGAAAGGAAGAAGGAAAAATAAATAAGGAGAATTGCCAGCAGACATTATGAAGCAAGAAACAGAATTTCGGTAAACCGTAACGTAACGTGATGTAACGTAAACGTAACGATGCTTGGCAGTCTATGAAATTAATAACAAATAAAATCAGCTACGTAAAAAAAACAGAAACAATGCAAAACGCTAAGCTAATTGCAGACAGAAACAAAAAACAAAAATAAACCAAAAAGAAAAGAAGAATTTGCAAAAATGCAAAAGCATGAAAATGCAAATGATGAATGAGAAGAACTTTTTGAACTTTTCTGCATATTTTGTGTGTAAGTCGATGGCAAAAATGTTTATTCTCTTTTTTATGTTACATGTTTCACTCAAAGGCCAGCACAAAACACGATACCCACAAGCAACACACACACACACACACAACACACCCACACACCAGAGGAGCCCTTGAGCATTCGAAAAGCAAGAAAATGCAATTTTCACTTCCCAAGTTTCCATATCAAAAATAAAGCTTCACTGCAATCAAACTGTTTGCATAATTGCCTTAGGCGAAAAAATCTGATAAGAGGTTACCCAAACGGAGGCGGAATCGAAACCCAGACACAGACCCGGACTCCGGCGAGAGCAGGAGAAGGAGACGGAGTCGGAGTCGGAGACGGAGACGGAGACCGACACCACCTAGTAGAGTGCCGGTCGAAGAGGCCCCAAAAGATAAACCCCCATTTCGAAATGGCTAGTTTCATTTCTCAGCTCGATTGCTTGGCAAATATTTGGCCTGCTTTGTTCGAGCAGCGAGATACTGTTACTCAATCAAGCCAAATATAATCGAAATGCTTTCCCCCCTCAATCAGACGACGATCGGACGCCTCTTCCACTCGATCAAGTTTGCTTCAAAATGCATTCAACTAAGGGAAAAGTCCAGCAAAACTAGATTATCGAAGTCAAACCTTCCCAAGGTCCTCTTTAAATGAAATAAAGGTTTCTAAGAAGGAAATTTAAAATTGAGATCAAATTGAAATTGTGAAATTGAACATTTACCATTTTACATAAAATTCACAAAGAAATTTGTAACTAAAATTGAAACTGAAATAATATCAGAAGCTGAAATGAATGTTAAGATTGAAACTGAAAGTAAACATATACTATATCAAAACTATATCCTTTTTCAGCCCTTATATTGAAACCTATATCGTTGGAAAATTTTAGATCATATTGAAACTGATATTGAATGGAAGTTGAAACAGGCCCTACAACCTGTTAATGGAGATTGAAAATGAAGGGTTGCTTTGTGCAATTCGAATGTTAAATCGGAAATTGAGATTCTGAATGAGATTTGAGATGCGAATTAAACAATTAATGAAACTGCAATTAAAGCGTAGCAACTAAGGTTCTGATTGAAACTGATATTGAAGCTGTAATTGAAGCTGAAGCTTGAAGCCACCGCGATTGAAAGCACTAAATCGAATCGAGAGAGCCGAGCTGGAAACTGAGACTGAAACAAACTCCGAAATTGAACTCAAAATAAAGATAATATATTGGAAAAGAGAATGTGATTCATATTCAAAAGACCCTTGAGATTGAGGCTAAAATTGAAGCTGGATGAAACCGAAAATGCGACTGAAATTGTAGTTGAAACTAATATTGCAATTGAAGCTGAAGGGGTGAATGGAAACTAATTTCAAGTACCACATCCGCTTCAATTGCATAATTTAGTGTCAATTAGGATAACAGCCTTCAATTTGGTTTCTGAGCATCTGGGTTAGTGACGATTTCAATTTTGAATTTATTTCAGATTTTCGTTTCAATTGAAACCTTTATTTTAATACCAATTTCTGGCGGTGCTTTAGTCTCACTTTCCAGTTCAGTTCGTGCTTCAATATTCTGCTTCAATTCCATTTTTGAAGTCAGTTTCAATTTAAATTTTACCATCTAAATCTCGACTTCAAGTTTCGGCGCCTGTTTCAACTATCAAACTATATCCTGTTGATCTAAACTCTACAGATATCAAGGGAATTTCTAATCTGTCTTAATTTTAGGAATCCAAGAATCCGTTCTTCAAGGCAAACTCACGACGCTCCCGTACACACACAAACACACACACAGACACTGACAGACGACACATTATATAATGCTAAATGTATTACGACAACAATATATATACATCTCTATATATATACATATATATATATATATACAAACACACATATATATTTCAACAGAACAAAACAAAATCCAAAAAGAAACAAACAAAAGGCGAATCAACTACACAACAAGTAAATAAGAAGAAAAAATCTAACTAGTCAAAGCTTGAATATTTTTTAATTTATTCATTAATACAACAAGAACAACAACAACAAGAAAGCAAAAAAAAAACAAAAAATGAAAAAGTATACATATATATAAAAACAAAAACAAAACAAGAAAAAACAATTGATATTTACACTTAGTGAAGCAAAAAAACAAAACCAAAAAACAAAAAAGCGGAAAGTAAAAGCGAAAAAAAAACAAAAAACAAAAAATGATGCAAATGTGTAAGAAATAAACCCCGTCCTGCATAAATAAATTAAATAAAATAATAAAATAAATGAAAACACAAAGAATATCATAAAACAAAAAGATTTACACAAAGATTTAAAAAACCAAAAAAGAAGATGGAAGCAGCAACAAGAAAAATTATAATGAAATCGCATGTGTTTTTGTCGTAGTCTCATCATTGAAAAGAAAGTAAAAAACAAAGCAAATAAAAAACCACAACAAACAAACAAAAAGCAAAAAGCAACAAAAAAAAATCAAGTAAGTAAAAAACGTAACGAGAGAAACGCAGCAAACAATTTGTGTAATTCTTTTTGTCAAACTATGATTTTTGCATAAATCGAGGCGACGATATAGACGAAGGGCCGACGGCGAGCGGAGAGCTCTCCCTCACGTATATGAAAAAAATTAAATATTAAATGTACTCAAAGACAATTGTAATTGCAACAATAATTGTACGCTATATATACTATTATTAATGTGGAAAAGATTTCAGCAGCATTCGGCATTGGCCCCCGCCACGGATCAGATCCCCATTCGACCGAGACCCTCCAAGCCCCGATCCTTGATCCTTGATCCTTGATCCCCGATTATCTTGGGATCCTTGGATTTTTGGCTGTATCGGGCGGAAGGTCGGGAAAGCTTGGGCATATACATATATATATTAACCATGGAATCCCACTTGGCTCACTCTCTCTCTCGGGCCAATGGCAGCCAGGAAAATTGTGTAATGTTTCACACAAACACAACCAAAACAAAAAAAAAAGAAAGAGAAGAAGAGGAAAAACCAAAAAGAGAAAAGAAAACCCCAAAACATAAAACATAAGAATGCAAAAGGAAACAAACAACAACAAAGAAAACAAAAACAAAGAAAAACAAAAAAACAATTTTCAATGTATAATCATATAATTTGATTTTGAATTTTTGTGTTCTTTTTCGAAATATTTTGCATAAATAAAATAAAATAACAGAAAAACAAAAAAAAAACAAGCCAAATCAGGATGCAATTTCCAAACTAATTGAAAGCCGGCACGTGGACAAAGGTATGTAGTGTTGATTTTCAGGTAACCTCAAGATTACTATGATTTATTTGGACGAACAACTCCCCGAATGGTCGATGGGTCATAATTCATTCCATCGATAACCCAAAACCGCAACCTAATCAATTTCACTGCTTTTCGTGCTTTCGGATTAGCATCGATAATAAGGCTTTGGATTAAGAGTGGTTTATCTGGAATTCCTTTTCAGGTTTAAAGTAAGTAAAAAGGGTAGAAAATGCTGTATTGAACATTGCGGGATATTAATAAATATCGATTCTGCATAGATATTTGAGGCCAACAAGAAGAGTCCTTGTACCAAAGCCTTGCCAGATGATGAAACCCATCATTTGTCAGCGGTTCAAGATACCAAACTTCCCGTGATCCTTCCAAATAGAGACATTCCTCCAGGACCTAGCTCTGTCTAGAAGGGATAATAAAGTACCCAAGCTTCTCTGACCTTCTCCATTTCAGATCTACCTCCCATCAATTACAACGGAGTTACAGCTCTCTTGCAACTAAGTTTATTCCCCAAATAAGTACTAGTACCTTCCAAAACAGAGCTCTATTTAAATATATTTGTATCAAATAATGAGCTATCTAAAGAGTTACAACCCACTAAAAACCACTCAAAGAGATAATCAAATCCTTAAACCAACCCCAAATGCCGCAGAGTCTGACTGGGTCAGTGGACTGAAGATATATACAAATGTTAAATGTGTATGTTATAGATCGAACCCCATTGAGGGACATCCACTCAATGGACTCGAGACTTCTAAGCCGCAGATACACGCCGGGGGACACATACATACATGTGTGCGAGCCTCATTATGAGTTTCAACTTCGAGTGCGCCAACAAGCCTTTACAATAAATCACTTGAAAAGGTATATGTGAAATCAATGTAAGGCACTTCAGTCTATCAAGTGTCCGGAGCATGAAAATTGACGTACATTTTGATATATGAGCGGCGACAGAGAGCGAGTCTCTCGACTTTAGTTTGGCTTTGGTGATAAGTTTAGTTTTTTGTTTTGGTTCCTGAAAACCCTTTTCTTTTTTGATCGATGTGGAACTTCTCCGTAACAGAGTGTAATGTGGAGCATGGACTTACTAACCCCACAGATAATAATCTGTCGAGTGGCGGGGCTTTGTTGTCTTCACTTGCCTTGCCTTCATTGTGAAACTTTCCAAAGTGCATTCTGCATTCTGAAGTGAGCTGGGACAAGTGGCAGCAGCGACATGACAAATGACAAACAACACACTTGCCTCTATCGGGGGAAACAAAAAAAAAAAACAACAGTGTTACACGAAGATACAGATACTGAGATACACAGTCGTGTGTAGAGATAGAGATACACCAGACAACTTTGAAATGCACTTGAGCGTATTGGCGACCTAAGGCTAATTTCCCTGTTGTGCACTTAGCGATCAAGGCCTCTTCAATGAATTCAAGCAAATTCTATAATTATTGAGGTTCACTTGAGGGATTTACTTGCGCAAAGCCATGTAATAGAGCACTTGCAAGTAAGATTAAATTCACTTCCTTCTCTCTAAATGAAGAAGCTTCTTTTTCTTTCTTGATTCTGTAAATTAAGAGCTCTCACTCGAAGAAAAATAAGCAGCTCTCAAGGAGCAATCTTCGACAGAGATCTTTAATGGCAGGCACTCCCATTATGGTTGTCACTCGTCGTGTCCCCTGGAGGAGTGACAAGATGTCAGGCACTCGGAAATCAATGAGATCGTTGAGTGAGAGACCAGAGCAGAGCAAGGGCGGGCCAAGCTCCTCCAAAAGTGGGCGGTTACCCCCCCTCAGGTGCGATAAGTTAAGTGCGAATGGGACAAATAGTCAAGCCTTGATATACACATATAGTAGACCCTCTCACCGGGCCGACACCAGAGAACCTAGGTGCTAATGGTGCTAATGGTGGTTCGACTGATAAGGCAAACGGTAGCCCGCTCTCCCATCTGATAAGAATTGCTGGTGCTGGTTCTGGGATGTGTGGAATCCAAACATGTTGCTCTACAACATTAAAGTCACATTCAAATCGGACTGATTAGCAGTAGCAGCATATCGAATAGAGGAGAGACTTTCAAGGGGGAAAGGTATGTATATGTTATAGGAAGGTAAGGTCTGGTGTGGTCTGGTCTGTTAAGGTAACCCCGTTTGTGTTTTATTTTTTTCTACTATCACCACAACCATATCGCCCACTGATATCACCTCGACACCCATGTACAAACAAAAACAAATGGGAAAATAACATCGAACACTGGAAACAGTGACGAACGGAGTCCGCACGGGAGTTTTATGATTCCAACTCCCGATCGAGCTGGCCGATATTGTTTGTCAATAAACATACGCGCCACATAATCACCCGTGGTAATAATAATATCGTTGGCAACTTATTATTATTATTATTTTATGATTCGGCTTGAGCCCCCATCACCTTGGTCCGGGTGCTACCGAAACATCAAGTATATATTATATCAAGTGGCAGTCTTACGAGCCTCCCCCATTAAGATATTTATCGGACCGACACTCGACAAATTTATTCACACCGGCATTCGAACCGCTGATGGATTGGATGGATTGAATGGCCGGTTCCGCAATGTCTTCTGTGGCACAAGTGGTCGATCGAGTACCATTCAATGAAGTTTAATAATTGACGGACAAGCTAAGGTTTGCAACCAGGAGAATAAGAGAGAGCTTAATGATCCCATTAGCGAGCGCTCTAAAAGACAGGCTGCGGTTAGCCAATAGGAGAATTAGTTAAAAAATAAAATATCATTATCTGGAATACCTTAATAACTTGTGGGGATAGCAAATTAGAGACTAAAAATAGAAACCCTTTAGATTGGCTTCTATGGGATATTTTTAATAGAGAAGCTGCTGTTTGCTAACCGGAGATTAAGTTATAAGTCAAGTTTAAGCATTTCGTAGTGTCTGATTGAAAAATTGCATGATCAAGAGATGCCAAAAGAGCCACATAAAGGTTTAACTCTTAAGAACTATACTTGCGGATTGACTATGATTAGTTAATCAAAGGTTAAATTTATTGATAGACTATATGAAATATTATATTATTGGATGGTGCATTAGGGGGATTTCTTTCTAGGTAAGCATTTAGAGGTCTTTCTAAGTATTTCTTTTGACTAAGGTAACATAATTATGTTATGATGTGAAACTCGTAATAAACCTTCCGCTAACCTAGAAGGTGGGCTGTTTTCCTTGATTTTGCCCCACTGTGCAGGTTGCAACGGAGGCAACAAATCGGTTCAGAGTCAGTTAAAAAAAAGTAGGGGGCACACCGAACAAATATAAGCGAAAAGCCCGATTTGGGGCGTTGCGAGTATCTGTATCTGTATCTCCCCGATGGAATATCACTCTCCTGGCAGAGTGTGTGAGTGTGTATGCGATAACTGGACGCGGACAGCTTTATCGATATATATATTTGTATATATAGATATTTATATGTGTACATATATTCTTGTGTACACTTATTGATATTTGTTTAAGTCAGGGCGGTCTGCCTGCGCACCGTCACTCTCCTGTGTTTTGTTTAATACCTATTTGACTTTAATAAGTGATTGTTGTATCGCTTAAAGTGTCCCCCGTGCTAGTGTACTGTGTATGATGATACTCCTGGCACTTGGATCCGTTCGATTCCCGATCCAGTGCTCCATTGGCAGTACGCCTCTCGTCGTGGAGTCGCGCTGCAAAAACGCTGAGAACTTTGCGCGGCGATCGCTTATAGAGTGAGATAGACTGTTGAGTGTGCAAGTGAGATAGGAAAACACTAGCTCTCTCTTTCGTCGGACAGATTGTTTTTTTTTTTTATTATTTAGCCGTCGACGCTTTTATGGCTTATTGAAATCGACGAAAGGCGGCAGTCAAAAAGCGCGCGCTACGCCTGCCACAACTCCCGATTTTGATACTAAACCGATCCCCAAAAAACATCCAATCCAATCGTTATAAGGAATATATATATATATATAACCATTGTGCAATATATATATCGGAAAATGTGACTAATAATCGCCCATAAATCACATGTACAGCGGTGTACATATCAATTAAAAAGTGATCGAGCATTAAAAACCAATTCGAGTGCAAATAATTCCTTTTCCGTCGCGAGCTCAACTCAACAAATATAATAATACTTCATTAAATGTGAACCATCGCGACGATATACAAATATATATATATATTCGATATTATATATATATATCTATTTTTTTGCTGTTTTTCGACCAAATTTTCTTCGACTTTTCCGCACGCGAGAGCCTTAATTATGAGCAATTATAATCCGAATTGCGGTTACTACGAGGATTGCAGCTATTACACGAACAACGTGTACCAACAGGATTTTTGCATGCAGCCGGATTACGAGTACAACAAGCATGTCTACGAGTAAGTACACACACACAGCCCCGAGTCAGTGTCCTTTTACATAGTTGCAACCGAAATCCGGAGAACGGAGACCGGAGCAACCGTAAACCGGAGTGCCGAGTCCCGGAATCCCCGATATCCGGCCGGCATCCATCCAAAATAAATTGCCAGTTTTGGTAGAACCGTCGGCAAATGAGCCAAGTCACTCAGTTGTCAGTGTAATAATAATTATGTCAAGGGAGGAAAATCATACTGGGGGGAAAGGGAAATAAGGATAAGCAAAGGGTAGACTTAATTGGTCCATAAAAAGGAGACGAGGAATTACACAAGGATACACAATGGAATATTACCTAAGTACATGAGATTTAATGTGTATTCAAAGCTATTCAAATATGAAAGATATATGAGTCCTAAAAGAAAAAGAAGCTCTACAAAAGCACTAGTGTTTTTTATACACTAAAATTCTGCAACAAAAATCTTACTTACACCTTGTTTCAATACACATATATATGTTATTATCAATTTAATTTATGATTGCAAAAAGGAACCTCATACATATTATTAAATACTTTTAGTTAAACAATTTTTTGTGCCGAAATAAATACAAATATTTATGCACAAGTATGGGAAGATATAATGGAAAATATACCAAAATTTTCCCTGATTATATATTTCTCTGTTAAGATATACTTGAACTGTCCCTAGAAATTTTCAACAAAACTTTGAGATACTGTTCTTAATTTGATCATTCGAACACTTGTTAAAATTTCATAAAAAAATCTTATGTATATATATACCAAAAATTTCAGAAATTATCCCAATATTATTCCCTATAATATTTATATAAAAAGAAACCTCTACTTTCATATAATTTTCTGAAAGTCAGTTTAAAAGGAAGAGTTTTTTATATTTTTTCCTTTTACTTTTTGACATTCATTAAAAGATAATGCTAAAATTTTAGATAATCTTTGATTTATGGAAACACAAGTCCATTTGTATTTGTTAAATGACGTAGGTAATACGTATACTTGGTTAGTCGTTGGTCAACTATTTGGTGAACTTTTATTAGAAGTGGCTTTTCAACTAAGAGATTTAAGAGCCATTAAATTTTCCACCCTTCAACCAGATCACTCGAAGAACATTCAAACATTCATTCATTAACTGGTGTTATCAGTCAATGGGTCACATAGCCATTTATTCGTTGTTTTTTTTGGGAGGCCCTCAAGTACATGAATCTGTCCATTGGCAGTTCGCAATCTTTCATTCACAATCGTTTGAATTTTTTCGGTTGTTTTTTTGGACTTGAATGGCAGAATGAGTCTGCAAATTCAGGTTAAAGAGGTGAAAATTACGCGTCGGGAAATGGATTACATTACGGAAACTGGGAAATAAATCTTTGTTTAATAAATATGCACATCTTTTAATAATGAATAAATTATTTTATATCGAGTTAATATACACAAATGAATATAGAATGGTTTTTAATCAGTTTCATTTTATTTAATTGCTTCTGGAACAAGCTATTCTAAACTGCAATTATTACCAATTTCCTTGGGAATTTATAATAACTATCAACCAAAAATCTCTCTTTATGGCTTGGCTAAAACCCTGGGTATTTCTATTACCAAACCTCAAGCCTATTCCTAACCTTTCTCCCATTGATGTTGTTGTGCTGCAGGTGATCTGTGATCCTGCACACACCTTCTTCCCACACACACACACACACACACACACCTTGAAGTGAATAAGTGTCACAATATTTCCTGGAAATCGATGAGGCAATTAAAAAAAATTTGATTTAAAATCAGCTAAGAAAACACCACAAGCCGCTGGCTAAGGATCAGGTTCGTGTCTCAGCCTTAGGGGCTGCTCGGGCGTATTAACATTTAATGGCATAACATAATGAAATTTGTATTTTGGCTACCGAACCGGATCGAAATGCTGAGATTTAAGCCCCTGATTTTCGCACACTCCTAAGCCAATGTTACGGCATTGTGAATGGGATCCGGGAATGGATCCGAGTGACTGGTGACTGGAGGTAAGCCGAGGCAAAAAGGTGCACGAAATACACCAAAAACTATAGTCCATACTATAGGCTCAGAGACCAGAAACCAGAGACCAGAGAGAAAACCCAAGCCGAGTGCCAACAATGCGCATTATTTCCACTTTGTCACCTTTTCCATCGGCGGGGTTTTTGAAAAACCAAAACACATGTTTAGTGAAATCGCTTGGAAAATCACAGACAGAGAGAGTGAGAGAGAGGAAAGGTTGAGGTTGGTTTCCCTCTCCACGGCGACAGGCAAAAATTGGGTTTAATTGGGTTTGTCCATAATCGTTGCATCGAACCCTCGGATAATCTGGGATAATGCTGTTTGCCAAATAAAACCAATTCCATTTATTTGCGCTTTATGTCATGTCCGACGGTTCATTGATGGATCTCACACGCTCCTCGCCCACCTTTACATCTCTTCAGAGCTCTTCTCTGTCATCTTTGTCCCTATTTTCAATCTCGGAATATCGGGATTTCCCTTCCAGTTGTCTTTGCTCCATATGGCAGGTTGGGTTTTTCTCCAGCTCGAAGGGAACTCGAACTGGGACCTGTGTGTGTCTGTGTTAGCAATTTTCCCTCTATACGCGGTGATAGTGTTGCCAAAATGAAGGATATTCAAATAAATATAATTCAAAATTTTAAAATTTTAAAAATTATAGTTCAGAATAATTTACAGGGTATTATAATTCAGTCAGAAGCATATAACACAGTGAAGGAGTCATTTGCGACCCTATAAAGCATATATATTCTTGATCAGCATTAAAAGGCGAATCGATCTAGACATGTTTGGGGGAAAATATATTTTTCTGATTTTTGGTCAAATTTTTATCGTTTAATTTTATAAATTAAAATCTAGAAAATTGACAAAATTTGAATTTTGTAAAACTAAAAAATGCAGTACACTGATTTGTTAATCTTATAAAAACTAGCACAGAACAACTTTCCGAATTGAAATTAATGCATTTTTGGCTGCGTTATGAATTTTTTAAACTTAGATTTGGCTAAAAAATTATAATATAATAATAATTATAAATTTCGGGCCAAAAATGGTATTTTAATTTTAGTCAGAAGCTTCTAACGTCTAAAGGAGCCATTTCCTACCCTATAAACTATATATATTCTTGATCAGCATTAACAGCCGAATCGATCTAGCCATGTCCGACAGGTAAAATTTTTTTTCGACTTTTTTTTCAAAAATTTTGGTGAAAATTTTGCATTGTTAAGATGACAAAATTTGGAAAATTTTCAAATATTGTAAAACTTGAAATTGAGTATGCAGATTTATTAATCTAATCAAAACTAACATAGGGCAGCTTTCCGAATTGAAATTAATGCTTTTTTGGCTTAGTTATGAGATTTTTAGACTTTGATTTGTCTTCAAAATTGTCATTTAAAAATATCGACTCAAAAATAGCGAATGTTTTAAGCTTAGCTATGATTTATTTCCGATACGATCCTATAATTCAATTGAAAACTGCAGGGGGCTCTATACTTCGGTTTCTCGAAATTATTTTCTCTACGTGTTAAAAGCAAAAATTAATTTTGTAAAGTGAAAAAATGTATTTTTGAAGACTATTAGAAAAGTAAATGTTATATTTTACTTTACTTTCAAGACAGTTAATCTCTGTTAAAACTAATTTGGTTTTTAATACCTATAGAAAAACATACTTAAAAATCCCTATAAAAGAAAAGTCCTTTTGGAAAAAAAAAAATAATAATAATAACAAAACAAAGCTGAAGGACTACGGAACGCGGACACGCTAGGCTACACTTGTCTCCCCAAAAACCAAAGAGCCCTGAAATATGAAGTTCGAAAAAATAATTTCATTTGAACGCAGTCCCCAAACGCAATCACTCAAGTTGAACGTACTCCAGAAGAGCCAAAAAAAATATAAATAAATAAAAAAAAAAACATATAGACTGGTAAAAAAAAAGCAAGAAAAGTACAGGGGGGAAAAAAAAGGGGCCATCAAAAGTCGAAAGCTTCAAATGCCTGGGAATGTGTGCACATGTCCGCGACGACGACCGATGAGCCAGGAAGTAAACAAAGACCGAGCCGCAGGAAAAAATTCGAAAAAGTCAGAGTCTCAGTTGAATAAAGCCGAATTTGTAATCCCTATAATCTCATATAATATTAATTATATTAATATTTAATACACTTAACTGAAAGGTTTAAAAAAATCATAAGTAGCATTTATATGGCAAGTCAGAGCCAATGGGACTTCAACGAATTTCTATCAACATTTAATTGTACTTATAATTTATTACTGTCAACTTAGAGGTCTTAAGAACTTATATTTTAATACGTTCAATTAATGTTTAGTATTCACATTTTATTCTATATATTTATTTATAAATAAGGGTCTTTGGTTAGTCGTCTATGCTCTAAGGGATTCCTCTAAATGCGTTCAATTTGCGACCCTCACTTTGCGATAATTTGTGTTTATGTTTCTTTGGCATTTTTTGTATTCTCTTCTTATTTTCGATTTGTATTTCTCAAATATTAATGTCAAGTCCTGGCTCAGTAGCAGGGTTGTCAGGTTATTAATCAAATCGATTAATTTTATCTAAATAAAGCCTTTGAATCAAGTTTAAAATGCTTAGTAATAAAAATACATAATAGGTGTAATAAACACCAATCAAATGTATATAAAGGTTTTAAAATAAAACTTCTGATTTTACTGATTATTATTTAAAAATTAATTAAGTTAACAGGATTTAACCTTATATTTTTAAATAAATAGCTGTTTAATAAAGTAATTTAATATTCTACAAATAATTTTCTGTGAAAGAAATTGATTTCGGATTTTAAAAATAAATAACATTAGCCGCGGACTGCTTTTATTACTTATTCAACAAAATTGTAAAATAACTATAAATGTTAATAATTCAATTTAAAGTAAACCTTATTTTAATTGAGCTTCCTTGTATTGTTATTGGCATTTATTCATTTATATCCTGCAACAGAAAG